ACGTACTGCTCCTTCATTTTTTTGTATTCGGATTTCCGGACAAATTCACATATGATGTGCTCGTTGCTTGTTTGTGAGCTTTTAAAGTGTGTGAACGTTCCTATTTAAATTAAATCTACTTTTGAGTACTTTTTCCCCTGGAGCTGCTATATGTGATCAGGCATAAAGACAAGACTTGTGCTTTCGGGCTGTTTGCTAGAGAGGTGATGGGTATCCTTTGTTGATCAGGAGGTTTTATTCTTATGCAAGGCTCAACTTATTTCTCTGTACTGCTGTAAACCGTGTGCTGCCCTCTAGAATAACATAGGAGTGAATCATTTAAGACACAGTAATTAAAAACTGGTAAAAACTGTGCATCTTGAACTGATTTACAAACTTTTATTAAGGGGAGAATGTGGTTTAAGCTTGTCTTTAATGCATTTACTTTGTAGGTTTTACTTCATCGACTCGCAAACTTTCAACGTGTGTGGAGTTTGCCTCCAAATGAAAATACAGGAAAAGAAGTGACTGCTCTTGCTTGGAGACCAGATGGCAAAAGTAATGTCAAGTATATGAGGTGATATGGTGCGATAAAACCCCATGGGAAATCATGAAGGATGATACTTCTCATCTGTGAAGGAAATTTTCAAGTAAACTGTGTTTGAAGAAAAGGGTGGCTTTATTTTATGTAGGTTCATTCATAGTAATAGAGAGATTAACACTGTTGAATGCAATTGCAAGAAAGATTTGTAAGCCAGATTTATGTCTCAAACATAAGGCTATAGCAAAAGCTTAACCTCCTAACTAAACAGGATATTTTGTATGAACTACAAAGTTTATTGAGAAGGAAGCTGTCTGATCAGGATTGATTGAAGAGCTTAACTTACTTAGCATAGGCAAACCTTCATAGGCTAAAATTGCTCTAATTCTAGACCAGAGAAGAAAAAAAAGGCTTTTCCTTATTAATAGAAATAATGTTGAAATTAGTAGCTCAATAAACTTATGCCAGAAATCAGTTAATTTTTTATTCACTGGAGGTGGGAGAATGGGAACAATCTTCTTCCATGACATGTGGATAAAAACTACCCATATTGTTTTATGATGGCATCTGAAGAGTTTAAGAAACTTCTTTTTAAGCTGATTTCCTGTGATTATAAGGACGTACATACAGAAACCTCTGCCTAATTGCTATTATGGATGAAGAAAGTGCTGCAAAAGTTGGTCAGCAACTTGTAATTTGTGATTTTTGTCCACCAAACCTTTCTGCTGAACAATGTTATATATAGTATTGAACTCAAATCTGCAAAATTGGAGGCCTCTATCAGAACTATCGTTAGAAGTGTTAGAAGCATGTTGAGTTCTAGGTCAGGGTAAGGTACAGAGTTTTGCACATTGGTTATTTATACATGTTACTTGTCTTTCTGTAGTTTTGGCTTTTGGCCTTGCTGATACCAAGCGGATTATTCTATGTGATGTAGAAAAACCTGAAAGCTTGCACTCCTTCTCTGTGGACTTATCTATTACATACATGCATTGGATGGAAGTAACTGAGGAAAGCAGGTGAGTCTGAAAAGAAGTAAATCATAGGGTATGTGATGCCACCCTACTGATAATTTATACTTGGAATGTTACAAGCAGTCACATAAAGTAATACAGTCCACAGCTGTGGGTTTTTTTCATCACTTGGCTAAAATTTT